TTGTTGAGCGGTGTTGCCGTTGACGATTTGGCCTGCGTCATCGGAGAAGTCTCCGCCGAGGTCGAAGTCGACGAACTGGAAGAACGAGAGCGACATCGATGCGTTGCTCGTGTTGCGGATGGTGATCTGCTCTGCGAGGTCAGCGTTGCTTGAGCCTGCGGTACCACCACGGAGGGTGAAGAGCGTTTCGATCTGGAGTCCATTGCCGTCCGAGTAGAGCTGTGCGAGTGCGTCGTGGCTTGTGTCGGTGAATGGGTTGGTGTCGGAAGTGAAGATGCCGTCGAGTGACAGGTTGACATCATCGACTCGGTATTCACGGGTGTCCGATGCGCGGCGGAAGAAGAAGTCTTGAGCGAAGATTTGCTCAATACCATCGACGAGCCAGCTGATTTGTCCGGAGTTTGTGTCGAAGGTCGCGGTTGAGTTCGCATCTGCGAGTACATTCACACCACCTGCGAGGCTGACCGACGCCATACCTGCGCACGACGCAACAGCGATTACGGTTGTTTTGAACATGATTGAATCTCTCTTTCTCTGTTCTCTCTCAGAGCAGCCGGCACAGAACTGCATAAATCGTCCCACTTGTGGCCAGTTTACCCCAGTTGAAAGTGGCATTGCAAGACAGTTTTTCAAATTGCCAACGAATTGTTTTATATCTGGTTAATTATCGGAAATTGATGTGTTTGTTTGGGATTTGGATAATTTGGCGGAAAAGAGAAAGCACCCTGCCGGTGACAGGGTGCTTGAGTTCGGTGATATACAGCTTTGCTCAGCGACGACGGCGTGTGCCGAGGAGGCTTGCACCTGCGAGGAGTGCGAGGGATCCTGGGGCTGGAACAACTGATTTGTTTTTGGAGATGAGGAAGGAATCGCCTGCTGCGAGGGTGATGTCCCACTGGAATGCCCATGCGACATCGCCGGCGGACGCAGGGGAGCCGTTGAGGTTGTCGATGTCGACATCGTTGAGCATGCCTGAGAGGTTGAAGGCGGTGTCCATCTGGAAGGCGACAGGCTGCGGAGTCGCGACGGTTTCGTTCATCTGGAATCCGGAGCCGTCGGACTGTTGAGCGGTGTTGCCTCCGACGATTTGACCGAAGTCATCGAATGGGGTTCCGCCGAGGTCGAAGTCGACGAACTGGAAGAAGCTCAAAGAGATGGCGCTGCTTCCCATGTTGCGGATGGTGATCTGCTCTGCGAGGTCCGCAGATCCTGATCCGGCGGCGTTGCCGCGGATGGTGAAGAGTGTTTCGATTTCAAGACCTGCACCGTCGGTGAAGAGTGATCCGAATGCATCGTCACGGGTGTCGGTGAACGGGTTGGTGTCTTGGGTGAAGTTGCCAATATTGTTCAGATTGGTCGAATCCACGCGGTATTCGCGTGTATCGGTTGAGCGGCGGAAGTAAAACTCTTGGGTAAAGAGTTGATTCGTTCCGTCGATGAACCAGTTGACTTGACCTGCGGCTGGATCGAAATCTGCACTGGTGTTCCCGTCAGCGATTGTGAAGCTGGCCGGACCTGCGAGCGCTGAGGATGCGAATCCTGCGCACAATGCGATACCGATTACGGTTCTCTTGTCCATGGTTTTCTCTCTCTTCTCTCTTAGAGCGGTCGAACGGAGCCGCAACATGGGTGTCCCACTCCATATGAGTTTACTGGAGCGGGTGCTGAGTTCAAGAGGTGCTCAGGCAATTTGCAATTAATTATCGGTGTGGTGGGGCAAATTGTGGATGAGGGGTGATTTGATCCACGAACAAATATCAAACAGGGCGAGGCAGCATGAAAAACACCCCATCGGATGGGGTGTTTTGAGAGGGGAGTTTTTGTTGAGACTTCGCTACGCGTGCTTATGCACGACGGCGGCGGGTGCTCAGGAGTCCTGCACCTGCGAGGAGTGCGAGTGAGCCTGGGGCTGGGACGATGGACTTGTCCTTGGAGATGAGGAATGAGTCACCTGCTTCGAGGGTGATATTCCACTGGAATGCCCAAGCGACATCACCTTCGTAGGAGGAGTCGCCGTTGAGGTCGTCGATCATGCCGTTTTCCCAGAGATCGGACATGTCTTCGTAGTCGCCCATCTGGAACGCGTCGGGTGCTGGGGTGACGACTGTTTCGGAGAGGTAGAAGTCATCGTCTGATTGTTGAGCGATGTTGCCGTCAACGATCATGCCCATGTCATCGCTGGAATCTCCGCCGAGGTCGAAGTCGACATACTGGAAGAAGGAGATGACGATGGTTTCATTGCCGTTGTTGGTGAGGGAGATCTGCTCTGCGAGGTCAGAGATCCCGGAACCATCGGTGCCACCACGGAGGGTGAATGTGGTTTCGATTTCGAGACCCGAAGCGCTGTCGCCCCAGAGTGTGGAGATCGAGTCGTAGCGATCATCGGAGAACGGGTTGGTGTCGTTGATCGCTTGGCCGAGCAGTGTCAGGGTGTTGAGATTGACCTCATCGTTGTATCCTGGAAGGCGGAAGTAGAACTCTTGTGCGTAGAGTTGGTCTTCGCCGTCGACGATCCAGGAGTACTGTCCTGTGGAGTTGTCGAAGGTTGCGGTGGAGTTGCCGTCACCGAGGACGATTTCTTCGGTGCCACCTTCTCCTGCGAGTGCAGCGGTCGAGAGTGCAGTGAGTGCTGCGATTGTGATTGCTGTTGTCTTTTTCATTGTTTATCTCCCCCGGATTATCCTCGTCGCGCGAGGCTCCAGATTTGTTTACGAATAAGCGATCAGATCCGTGTTGCGTGCGATTGATCGCGGTTTTCTACGAGTGTTATTAGCGACGACGACGGGTGCTGATCAGTCCGGCGCCTGCGAGCAGTGCGAGTGAACCTGGTGCAGGGACGATGGACTTGTCTTTCGAGATGATGAATGCTTCACCTGACTCGAGGGTGATGTCCCATTGGAATGCCCAAGCGACATTGCCTTGGTATGAGGCTTGGCCGCTGAGGGTATCGATGGCGTCATCGTTGAGCATGTCGGACATTGCGATTGCGTCACCGACTTGGAACAGTGTTGGTTGTGGGGTGACGACGGTTTCGGAGATGAAGAAGCCGTCATCGCTTTGAGCGACGGTGTTGCCGTTGACGATTTCACCGAAGTCGTCGTCGATGTCGCCGCCGAGGTCGAAGTCAACGAACTGGAAGAAGGAGAGTGAGAGTGTGGAGTCTCCGAAGTTGCGGATGACGATTTGCTCTGCGAGGTCGGAGCGTCCTGAGCCGTCGGTGCCGCCGCGGAGGGTGAAGATGGTTTCGATCTGCATTCCGTTGTCGTCGTTGTAGAGTTGCGCGATTGCGTCTTCGCGATCGTCACGGAATGGGTTGGTGTCGGTGGTGAGGATGCCGTCGAGGCTGAGGTTCGCAGCACTGAGCAGCAGTTCGCCTTGATCGGTTGAGCGGCGGAAGTAGAACTCTTGTGCGAAGAGTTGGGACACGCCGTCGACTTCCCAAGAGATTTGACCGCTGTTGAGGTCGAAGCTCGCGGACGAGTTGCGATCTTCAAGTGTGTAAACGGGGTCACTTGCGAGTGCGGTTGAGGCAACTGCAGCTGAAGCGGCAAGGACGATTATGTTCTTTGTAAGCATGATACTGATTCTCCCCCGGGGGTTTTCCCCGAAAAACGAGACTCTCCAAGTGTTCTCGGAACTGAATGTGCCTCAGGAATCAGCGTCTGCAAGTAATTGTGGGAGAAAGAGTTCAATTCAGCATGATTTTTTTCGGACCGACATATCCGTGAATTTGAGCACCTGAAGTCCGATAACAAAAAATGCTGTTAGCACTAAAAACCCCCGACAATCGGGGGTTTGCGAGCGTGTGTTTCTAAATGACTTGAGATGCGTGACTTACGCGCGTCGGCGTCGGGCGATGACTAGGCCGCTCATTCCGAGGAGTGCGAAAGTTGAAGGCGACGGGACGGCGCCTGTGTAGGTGTGGCGGCGGATCTCGGCGTTCATGATTGCGACGGAATCGACGAAGACGGAGCCGTTGATCCCGCCACCGGTGAGGTTGAGCTCGGCATCAGTGGCGAGGATCGCGCCGTTGAAGGAGTTGTTGATGTTGAGCTGGGTGGTGTTGAGGAAGTTCCAGAGGATGCGGGTGGAGTTGCTCTGGTTGAAGTCGCCGATGAGGTTTGGCGGTGCGTTGAAGTTGGCGATGCCTCCGGATGCGGCGGCATCGAAGTTGATGACGACGGTGTCTGCAGATCCGATGTTGAGGTTGAGCTGTCCAAGGCCGGTGATGTCGGCTTGGGTGACTGAGTAGAACGCGACATCTTGTGCATCGACCGCCACGGTCGATGCGGACATGTTTCCGGCGTTGTCGATGCTGCCTGTTGCGCCGAAACCTGAGAAATAGGTGCTCAGGTTGGATGCTTGGAGCATGGCGTTGTTAACCATGTTGGTGACTGATGGGTCCACGATGGTGGATCCGCCGCCGTTGAGGTTGGCGTTGCCGTTGATATTCCCCGAGATACGGAGGTTCCCGCCGTTGTTGATCTGGTAGTTTGATCCGGCGCCGAGGTTTCCTCCGACGACGAGGCCGTCGCCTGTTGAGGAGGTGACGCCTTGGACGGCGTAGTTGGAGGTTCCGAAGACTGATCCTCCGATGAGTGCTGAGCCGTCGACTTCGGAGGTGATGTTGAGGTTGTTGCGGACGACGAGGTTCCAGTCGCTGAAGACATCAGCGGCGGCGGTTCCTGCGACAGCGGACAGGATCGCGATGGACGCGAGGGTGTTGGTGAAACGCATGGTGGTTCTCTCTCTGTGTATTGCAAATCCCTAGACATATGGGGTTTGCTGATTCTCTCTGCGGTTATCTTTGTATATATGGATTGGGAATGGAAGGGGAAAGGGATGAGGGTTGTGTGAATTGGGGTCTTTCCCGAGTGTGGAAATACGGGTGGTGAGGTTTATGGATATCGTGTCGATTGTGCGGTTTTTGCGGGGATCCGCTGCGATGGGTGATGGGGATTGGTAGGATGAGGATCGCGAGCGAGAAATGGGTTTGATTGATGGAGGATGCTCTGGTGGAAGGTGCGGGCGATAAATCATTTGTTCACTTGCACTTGCACTCGGAGTATTCGCTGCTCGATGGTGGAAATCGGACGGACAAGCTCGTCGATCGCGTGAAAGAGCTCGGCATGGATGCGGTGGCGATCACGGACCACGGCAACATGCACGCGGCGGTGAAGTTCTACAACATCGCGAAGAAGAAGGGTGTGAAGCCGATCCTTGGGGTGGAGGCGTATGTCGCGCCGGGTGATCGTCGGGATCGTACGTATACAGGGGTCGCGGACGGCGGGCACCACTTGGTGCTGCTCGCGGAGAACAACAAAGGGTGGGAGAACCTGCTGTATCTGTGCAGCGAGGCGTACATCAATGGGTTTTATTACAAGCCTCGGATGGATCGTGAGATATTGGAGTCGCACTCGGAGGGGTTGATCGCGATCAATGGTCACTTGGGTTCAGAGATCGCGTTCCACATGGTCAAGTACGAGCAGACGCGCGATCAGTCACACTGGGATGCGGCGCGGGAGGTCGCGAAGTGGCACGCGGAGACTTTTAAGGGGTCGGACAAGGGGCCTGGGTTTTATCTGGAGTTGCAGCACCATATCGGGTTGCAGAACTCGATCAATCCGCATGTGATCAAGCTGGCGCGGGAGATGGACCTGCCGTTGGTGTGCGATAACGACTCGCACTTCCTCATGGAGGACGATCACGATGCGCACGATACGTTGATTTGTATCTCGACGGGGAAGGTGAAGAACGATCCGGATCGGATGCGCTATCCGACGGAGCTGTATGTGAAGTCTCCTGAGGAGATGCGCGGGATCTTCGAGGGTCCTGAGTACAACACGGAGGAGTTCGGCGACGCGGGGATCGAGGCGCTGGACAACACGGTTTCGATCGCGGATCGGTGTGATGTGGAGCTCCCGATCGGGGCGAACCACGCGCCGGTGGTGGTGGTCAAGGCGCCCGCGAAGAGCAAGCTCCCCAAGCATTCGGCGAAGGAGTTTGGCGGGGATCTGACGGCGTGGTTCAAGGATTTCTGTACGAACTTTGAGCTTGAGCCTGCGAATGATCCGGATCTGGATCAGGCGTCGCTGAAGAAGGAATGTGATAAGACGCTGCGATTGTTGTGTGAGGCGGGGATGGTGTGGCGGTATGGGCCGAGCATCATGGACCACTTGCACAAGGGGATCGAGGGGGTTGATGAGCTTCCGGAGGGGATGGAAGGCGAGGACGCGGACGGGTGGAAGAAGTGGGCGCGGCTCAATCGTGAGCTCAAGATTCTTGCGGACAAGCTGATCAGTGCGTACTTCCTGATTGTGTGGGACTTCGTGAACTGGGGGCGCCAGCGCGGGATCCCGTCGCTGGCTCGTGGTTCGGGTGTGGGGACGATGACGGGGTTCGTGCTCGGACTGTCCAACGCGTGTCCGGTGCATTACGGGTTGCTGTTTGAGCGGTTCACCGATCCGGATCGAACGGAGTATCCCGATATCGATATCGATCTGTGTCAGAACGGGCGCGGCGAGGTGATCCAGTATGTCCGCGAGAAGTACGGGCATGTGGCGCAGATCATCACTTTCGGTACTTTGAAAGCACGCGCCGCGATCCGCGATGTGTCGCGTGTGATGGAGTTCCCGCTTGGGGATGCGGACAAGCTCGCGAAGCTGATCCCGGAGGATCTGGGGATCACGCTTGAGAAGGCGCTGGAGCAGGAGCCTGATCTTAAGGACTGGTACGACAAGGATCCGACGGTCAAGCGGATTATTGATACGGGTCGGACCTTTGAGGGTCAGGCGCGGCACTCATCGGTGCACGCGGCGGGGGTGATTGTGGCGACGCGGCCTCTGCATGAGGTTGTGCCGTTGTATAAGCAGTCGGGGAGTGAGGATGTCATCACACAGTGGGACGGCCCGACGTGCGAAATGATGGGTCTGCTCAAGATGGACTTCCTCGGATTGCGGACGCTCTCGATCATCGAGGGGGCGAAGGAGCGGATCCGCGCGACGCTTCCTGAGGAGAAGATCTGGGAAGCGGTGGGGCGCGAGAAGAAGAAGGGCGCGGATCATCCGCTGGATCTTGAGCGGCTCAAATTCAACGACCCTTATGTGTTTGACATGTTCCAGCGCGGCGATACGACTGGGGTGTTCCAGTTTGAATCGGGGGGGATGAGAAGACTCCTTACGGAGATGAAACCCGACCGGTTGGAAGACTTGATCGCGGCCAACGCGTTGTTCCGTCCTGGTCCGATGGACCTGATTCCTGACTATAACCGTCGCAAGCACGGCGAGGACCAGGTTCCCAAGGTGCACGCGATCGTGGATCACTTCACGGAAGAGACGTACGGCGTGATGATTTACCAGGAACAGGTCATGCAGATTGTGCATGAGCTTGGTGGGATCCCGCTGCGCAGCGCGTACTCGCTGATTAAGGCGATCAGTAAGAAGAAGGAAAGCATTATTAATGCGGAGCGTCCGAAGTTTATCGAGGGCGCGGTTGAGAAGGGGCTGGACGCGAAGAAGGGCGAGGAGCTCTTTGATTTGATTCTCAAGTTCGCGGGCTACGGCTTCAACAAGTCGCACTCGACGGGGTACGCGATCGTCGCGTATCAGACGGCGTACCTCAAGACGTACTTCCCGAACCATTACATGGCGTCGTTCCTGAGCTTTGAATCCCAGGCGCAGAAGGTGAGCGATTGGATCCCGTATCTAGATGATTGCAAGCGGACGCGGTTTATTGATCCCAAGTCCGGTGAAGTGATCCGGACTGGGGTGGAGGTCAATGCGCCGGATGTGAATCTGTCGCGGACGGACTTCAGTGTGGTGTATGGTGAGGATGAGGAGCCGAGCGCGAGCGGGGGGCAGGTGCGGTTCGGGATGCGCGCGATCAAGGGGGCGGGGACTAAGGCGATCGAGGCGATTGTCAACGAGCGGGATTTGGGGAGTGATCCGGAGCATCCGGAGCGGAAGGCGTTCGGGAGTTTGTTTGAGTTCTGCGAGCGCGTGCCTTCGGGGGCGGTGAACAAAGCGACGATCGAGGCGCTGATCCGCGCGGGGGCGTTTGATGCGATCCATTCGCGCGAGGAGCGTGCTTCGATGATCGCGAGCATCGAGGCGGCGGTGAGCGCGGGGCAGTCGATCGCGGCGGATAAAGCTGCGGGGCAGGGGGCACTGTTCGGATTCGGTGGTGGTGAGGAGGCGGGTCCGGCGGAGGTTCCGGAGACGCCTTTGATTCAGGCGGAGGGGTGGAGCGAGGCGGAGACGCTGCGTCAGGAGAAGGAGACGCTGGGGTTTTATGTCTCGAGTCATCCGATGGAGGAGTGGAACGACTGGGCGCGGGTGTTTACGCCTTTGACTGTTGGGGAGCTCAAGAAGTTGCCTCAGGACAAGCGGGTGATTGTGCCTGCGATGGTGCAGGGAGCGCGGACGATTGTGACGAAGAATGGTCGGAGCGCCGGACAGAAGATGGCGATCCTGACGGTGGAGGACGCGACGGGGACGACGGACGCGGTGATGTTCTCGAATGTGTATGCGCAGTTCGGGCATCTGACGGATACGGACATGCCCAAGTTCTTTATGGGGAGACTGGATCACTCGCGGGGTGATGCGCAGATCATTTTGGATCGGGTGGTGCCGATTGATGGGCATCCGCTTGAGCAGGGGACGATCCAGGTGATGGTGCGGAACACGCGCGTCAATGGGAACGCGGGTGAGGTGCTGGGGCGCGTGCGCGAGATTTTAGAGACTCCGGCGGATGTGAATGATTTATCGATTGGCAAGAGTGCGCGGCCTGTGATGGTGATCGCGGAGATTGACGGGGCGTGGGTGCTGATTGAGCCGGGCGAGCGGGAGGACGGGAAGAAGATCATGACGCACATGCGTCCGGAGCTGGTCAATGCGATCTGCAGCGAGCTTGGTGAGGACTCGGTGCGGCTGAGCGGCGGGGTGAGTGTCGAGCTGAACAAGGATGATCGACGCAGGCAGTACGCGAAGAACTGAATCAAACTTCATCCTTCCCAGCGGGTTTTGAGGTCGTGGGGGATCTTTAGGAGGTCGAGGGCTTTGCCTACGGTGAAGTCGATGAGTTCGTCGATGGTGGTGGGGAGCAGGTAGAGGCCGGGGTTGGTGGGGGCGATGATCGCGCCGGCGAGGGTGAGGGTGCGCATGTTTTCGATGTCGATGAGGTTCAGGGGGGACTCGCGGTGACAGATGATCAGTGGGTGGCGCTCTTTGAGCGTGACGGCGGCGGCGCGGCTTAAGAGGTTGGATCCTGATCCCGATGCGATGGCGCCGAGGGAGGTGGAGGAGCAGGGGAGGATGACCATGCCTTGGTGGAGGAATGATCCGGAGGCGATGGAGGCGCCGACGTCTTTGTTGGGGTGGATGATGAGGTTGGATGTGTAGAACGATTCGTGCTGGTCTAGAGCGAGGTGGGGGCAGAGGGTCTGGAGCGAGATGGAGGTGATGTTCATCTCGTCGGCGAGGAGGCGCTTGCCATAGTCGGAAACGACGAGGTGGACCTCGTGTCCTTTGATGAGGAGTTGTTCGAGGAGGCGGGATGCGTAGACGGCTCCGGAAGCGCCGGTGATTCCGAGGATATAGCGTGATCCCGAGGATGGTGGGGGATCGGAGGGTGGCGGAGATTTGGGGGACGCCATGTACTGCTTTGTCGAGTTGGTGGGCATGGGTGATGGTAGAGGGCTGATGATGGAGGGGTTCTTCTGCGTATCCGTGCGAGGGGCACTATGATCGGGGGTGTGTTCGGTGAATCGGGCACGCTAGACGCAGCGGGAGGTTGCTATGAATGCTTTGAATCGTGTGCTTGGACTGGCTTTGGTGGGTGCTGTTGGGCTCGTACTCGCTTTGAGCGGGTGTGTGAGTTATACGAATGTGCCTGAGCCGAGCAGTGCGCCGGCGTTTAAGAATGCGAACTCGGGGTCGTCGATCAAGGTGATCTCCGCGGCGGTCGAGCGGGTTGTACGGAAGCATCCGATGAAGGATGCGCAGGGGCGCTACGCGGTGAATCTCCCTGCAGGAACGACTCCTGAGACGGCGTGGAAGATTGTGAATCGACTTCCTGCTGGCGCGATGGTTCCGACGGAGGGGATGGATAGTTCTGTTCCTGTGTATCACATCTCGCGTGTGTGGATCCGCGGGCGGAGCGGGAAGGTCGATGTGGTGTATCCATTGGCTGATGGTTTGGATGGTGGGGTGACTTGCTGGATGCACGGCGGGGACAAGCCTTGGTATGTTGAGCGGCTGCAGTACTGGGCGCCGGGAACGATTCCTACGCCTCCTCTATATGTTCCGCTTGATGGTGATGTCGAAGTGATGGCAGATGATGAGTACAGCGAGCCGGTGAGTTACTCGGAACCCGATCCGATCGAGACTGATGCGGTTGAATCGATGGTGGAGGAAGATCCGGCTCCTGTTGAGTCGAGCGGGAACGGGACGCTGTATCGTCAGGTGGACGACTGAAGCTGAGGGGCGCGTATGTGGACGGGCAAGAGTTTGCTCTCGATGGATCACGCGGATGCGGGGGCGCTGCGGTTGTTGTTGAGTCAGGCGCACGCGGATGCGTGGCGTGGTGATGAGCTTGATGGCAAGGTGGTTGCGAATCTGTTCTTTGAGGATTCGACGCGTACGCGCGTGAGTTTTTCGATCGCGGCGCAGACGCTTGGCGCGAAGGTGGTGGATCTGACAAGCAAGGGGTCGAGCGTTGCGAAGGGGGAATCGCTGCTGGATACTGCGTGGACGATCGAAGCGATGGGCGTCGATGCGATGGTTGTGCGCGCCGGACAGTCCGGAGCGGCGGCGTTGATCGATGCGCATACAAAGTGCTCGATCGTGAATGCGGGGGATGGGACGCATCAGCATCCAACGCAAGCGCTGACCGATGCGCTGACGATCGGTCGTTCGTTTGACCGCACGGATAGCTGGGATTTCAGCGGATTGAAGGTCGCGATCGTGGGGGATGTGGTTTCATCGCGTGTGGCGCGGAGTAATGCAGGATTGCTCAAGGCGCTTGGCGCTGAGGTGGTGATGGTTGGTCCTCCCAGCATGGTGTCGGGATCGATGGGGGTGTATGGGTGCGCGATGACCGACGATCTGGATTCGGTGGTTGGGGAGGTTGACGCGGCGATGATGCTGCGGATTCAGTTTGAGCGCGGCGGGGGGTCGGTGCTTGCATCGACGCGTGAGTATCACGCGCGGTACGGGATGAGCGTCGCTCGCTCGGAACGGATGAAGAGCGGCGCGATTGTGATGCATCCGGGTCCGATGAATCGTGGCGTGGAGATCGCGCCGGAAGTTGCGGACGGCGAGCGATCGGTGGTGCTTGAGCAGGTGCGCGGCGGGGTGCTGGTGCGCAAGGCGGTGCTTGCGCATTGTCTGGGTTGAACTGGGTCGGTTTGCTTATTAGTAGTGCGCCGGGACTGGCAGCGGCGTTGGTGATCTTTTGGATTGTTGATCGGGGATCCACCAGCGCGTGTTGGGGAAGCGTGCGTCGAGGACATCGAAGAGTTCGCGTGGGACAGTTTGGAGCGTTGCGTAGCGGCCGTGGATATGGGAGATGGTTCCGGTGCGGGCGACGGGGTTGATGATGCCGTGCGCGTAGTGACCCGGTTGATCGGGAGCGGTTTTTGGCGGGGCATCGATCTGTCCACAGGAATGCAGGATTCCCGCGGCATCGATCCACCAGATGAGTTGATTTGCAGAGACCATATCCGGACCTTTCAGGATTGGGATCGGCGCTCTGGCGGGTCGGCTCAAGTGGTATCAATAATTTTGGTAGGGATCGCTGTTTCGGGTTGATTCGCTGGGGAATCGGGCGATTGGCGTCTCTAAGGGTTGACCTTGGGGGTGGGGTCACTACGATGGTGGTCCGGTGAATGCCGGGTTCCATTGGGGACGTAGCTCAGTTGGTAGAGCGCTTGCATGGCATGCAAGAGGTCGAGAGTTCAAATCTCTTCGTCTCCACTTACAGAAAACGCCGCTGGTATTGAACCAGTGGCGTTTTTTGATGGAGTGAGTGGATTGACGATTTTGAGGTTGACCCGCTCTGACCCGTTTGTTGACCCGCTAGGTCAAGGGAAGGGGTAATGGGAACCGTTAGCTAGCTGATGGCTCGACTAGATAGTTCTCAACCAATCCGTGAAAAGTCTTGGCTTGGTCGATGACGTCGTGGGGTATCAGTGCGTACTTCCATGGTTTTGTCCCATGCTCAGTAGCATGCGTACTTGAATGGGCACACCACTGAGCAGCAGCCTGAGCTTTCTCTTGCACTGCCTCAGATTCTACTTCGTCCTTACGCTTTGGTTCGCAGAGGAATTTGCACTCAGCCGTTTCGACGACAAAATCAGGTTCGTAGGGGACTCCGCCTCGCATGTAGATTTCTACCTGCTTGCGAGCAGGCTTGAACCATTTCAGTACAGTATCGTCATCCTCAAGAATTATTGAGAAGACTCGTTCTGGATCGGAGTCGAATTTTTGTTTGGGATAAAGGCACTTGTTGAACCCCTTGAAGACAAGGCTCTTGATCTTCGAGAGTTCGGGGGGCTTGTCACGGAAGTTCTGTTCGTCTGCACCTTTCGGAGAGGTAAAATTGCTTGCGCCGAGTGTGATGAATCCGCTACTGACCTGTGCTTCGTATTCAACCTCGCCTTCGTCGTAGTTCGTTTCCATTTGCGCGAAAACGAGTTGAGACAGGCGACGCTGGTGATACGCCAATACATTGATCACTTTACTGTCTTCTGTCAGATAGCCCCTTACATAGTCAACGACTTGTCCCGCCAATTTGTAGAGTAAATCCGCATGGTCGTCGTAGCAGACGGCATCAAAGTCGATCAATCCTCGGACAATGTAGTCCTCAGGCCGTTTTTCTGAGGCAATTCCTGAACCTTTGCTGACTAATGAGGTCCGACCGTTCTCCGCAAGGTACTTCACGAGGATATCTTCCTCGACAGGATGTAGCCTTGGGAAGCCGTTGAGATCGAGATCGAAATCTTTGAAGTCCCCCTGTGCAGCTTCAGGGTTTTTCGGTATAACGACAACACGAGGTATATCGATTGTCAGGTCGCTGTACTTGTCTGTTACGGCCTCAATAACAGATGCGAGTTCACTGCGGTCTGTCACGCCGTCAAGTTCACCTTGAGCGGGCGTGACCATGGTCTTGACCTTCTCCTCAATTTCCTTGCGGATTTCAGGCTTCTTTAAATCTGCTGAGGACTTTACTTTGCCACCCATCTTTGAAATGACTTCTAGCGTAGCTGAGACAGCTTCTTGATCGGGCTTCGAGTTGAAGAGTGGCTGTTGGTCATCCTTCCGGCCCTTTTCGCTTGTTTTAGATTCAGCTTCTGCTGTGCCGACCAGTTGATTAACAAGATTTGGCTGTACTGTTATGGCTTCCTTGCGTTCGTCTGTAATGAATCGGACTTCGATTCCGCCCTTGAGTACAGAGTCTTCCTTGTTTGCCTCATCAACGATTTGCTGGAATCGGTCGTGTGCAACGATCGTGAGTCGATCGACTGCATCAACGCCAGTCCGTTTGCCGTATGGAAGTCGGAGACCACGGCCAATGGATTGCTCGACGAGCGTTCGGGAATCCGCTGTGCGGAGAGGAACGATCGTATAAAGATTCGTGACGTCCCAGCCTTCTTTGAGCATGTCTACATGGATGACAACCTCGACAGGGTTTTCAGCGTCTTCTACTTCGAGCAATAGTTGGACATTCTCATCTTTCTCCTCACCGCGCTGATTTGAATGGACGGTGATGACTCGACCCTTATAAGCACCCTCAAAGAACTCATCACCCTCGATGACCTTCTGGATGCCCTCTGCATGAGCGGTGTCTTTGGCAACTACCAGAATAAACGGTTTCACATAGCGTTCACCAGTCTGAGCGGCGTATTGCTGGAGTTCAGCCTTCGTCTCTTCATGTAATCGGATGCCGTCTTCTAGTTTGAGTGTTTCTAGTGCTGCATCGTCGTAGTTGTCTTTATTGAAGTTCTGTCGAGTGGCGACGGCGGGACTTTTGACATACCCATCCTCAAGCGCACTCGAAAGCGGATAGGAGTAGATTATATTTTCGAAGGGGATGTACTTTTGGCCTTTCTGCACCTGTGGAGTTGCTGTCAGTTCAAGGCCAAGAATCGGATCAAGGTCGTTGATTGCGTTGAGACCTGCTGAGGCTCTATAGCGATGGCTCTCGTCCATGAGCATGACGAGGTCGGGGAGCTTTGAGAGGTATTCGAAGTAGGACTCGCCGATGTATTCGCTGAGACGCTTGATGCGTGGGGATTTGCCGCCTCGGACTTCGCTGTTGATCTTACTGATATTGAAGATGTTGATGTGAATCGGACCTTCACCAACGGAATGATCGAAGAGCCTGGACTGTCTGGGTGCAATACCAGCGACACCCTTCCGAATACCACGGCCACTTTGGTAATCGTCGCCGGTGATAATTTCGGGGGGATTGAGGACAAACTCGTTGATGCCTCGGAAGACATACTTTGGGCTAGTTCGATTTGTGAAGTCGTCGATGAGCTTGTTGTAGATGGTCAGGTTCGGGGCGAGGACAAAGTAGTGCTTGATTCCCTCAGCGAGCGTGAGGTAGGAGATGAACGCACCCATAAGTCTCGTCTTGCCGACGCCGGTAGCAAGAGCAAAGCAGAGTGATGGGAAGTTGCGTTCGAAGTCTTCGACGCTTGGGTATTGCGATTTGACTCTTTCAAGGGCTTCAGCGGCATCCTGGCCTTGTTCCATTGGGAGGATGTCACAGAGTTGAGCAAGGAGTTCAAGAGATTCACGCTGGGGCTTTCGAAGCGACAATCGGTTGGAAACCATGTTGACGGTACTGGATCTTGACGACATCAGTTGTCCTCCCCGTCTTCAGTTTCGTCCGTATCGAATAGGTTTCCGCCTGCGACTGCGGCGGCTTTTCGTCGTTTGGATTTCGCTTTACCACTCGATTTGGGTTCGACTTGTGCGTTGCCTTCGGTATCGTCAGGCTCGTCTTCGATGACGGGGAGTTCTTTGATTTCCAAGCTGTAGTCATCCTGCCCCCATTCACATTTGGACAGTACGGCTTTGGGGATCTTCTTGACGGTGAGGTTTGCCCATTCCCGTTTGCTGCGAAACGCTTTGCACATGATGAGCAGGCTGCGATCTGGACCGACCTCGTCAGAAAGCTTCTGGAGCATGTCGGCCGTCATCATCTGCGTGGTGATGTAGATGTAGTCGGTTTCCGTCGAGCGGCCTTGCTGCCAGTAGGTCTCCGGACTCGGATCGTATTTGAAGCCTTCGATTTTGCAGAGGGCTTCGGCAAGCATGGCGGGGTTGTAGTCTTTGTTGATGATCCAGTTGTCGTAGTCGTCTTTCTGGAGTAGCGACGGGGCGAGTTGGTAGTAACGGAAGCCACCGCCGCCAAGAGGCATTTTCTCAGGGCCAATGATTCCATAGAGCCGCAGAAAATTACTCTCTACCTTCGTCGAAAAACTAGCAAACTGGCCCCCAGCTTTCTCTTTGGCAGCGTTTAGTGCCTCCAGAATTGGTTCCATGTTCTTCAGCTTTGTCGGTGTCAGCTTCTCTTCCCAGACAACTTCCTTGACGCCAGAAATTCCGCCATGGTCATCACCATCAATTACTTTTGTCAGTCTTGGAAGGATATGAGTATCGCAGGTGTCTTCGAGTTCCACCATGATCCACTTGCGTCCAAGTTTGTGACAGACGGCCCCAGTTGTACCCGATCCAGCAAAGGAATCGAGAACGATATCACCTTGATTCGTGTTGATCTGGACTATACGGCGTATCAATTCCTCAGGTTTAGGTGTGGCAAATGGCTCAATATCAGGGAGCAGCTTTCGAAGATGGTCGCGCCGAGCCCCTTGGTTTGAATTCACTTCGGATGATGGCCACCAAGTTCTCGGAACCAGTCCGTCTTGCACGTCACTAAGATACTTCTTTACAATTGGTAAACTGTCGCCGTTTTTGCCAAAGTAGACCCGGTCCTCAGCAAGGGCTTTGTCGAAACTCGTTTTTGAGAATCGCCAGTAGTTACCTTTCGGGGGTCGGACCTTGCGCCCGGATGGCAATTCCACTTCATAAAGCAAACTATCCGAACCGCTCTTTGCCGTACTATCAGCCCCTTGTATCCATGGGCCTCGTGGGTCATCGTCAGGATTCTGGTATCGGGCTAATTGACTATCACTCCGTGGAAGCAAGTTTCGCGTCTTGCGCCAGACGCTCAAATCTTTCGCATAAGCCAGAATGTGATCATGAGCAGTGGATATATAAGTGTCGTTCTTTCTTCCCGCCGTCTTTTCCCATACCACATTCGCAATGAAATTTGTCCGTCCAAACACTTCATCGCACACAACCTTCAGGTAATGTGATTCTGTGTCATCGATCGTGATCCAGATTGACCCATCAGCCGTTAGTAATCGAGACAGTATTTCTAGACGTTCCCGCATTAGTGACAACCACAACGAATGCTCTATGCCGTCGTCGTAATGCTCAAAGGCTGAGCCGGTGTTGTAGGGAGGATCAATGAACACGCATTTGATTTGACCGGCGAAGTCGATTTCGAGGGCTTTGAGGGCGAGCAGGTTGTCGCCGTGGATGAGCATGTTGTCGAAGATGTCGCCGGGTCGGCGGACGCTGGCGTGGTAGGACTTCTCGGGATCCTCAAGCAGGATGCGAGGTTCCAGCCTGGGGCGGTCTTCCTTGCCGATCCAGGTGAGTTCGAGTCTGGTCTTGTTGCGTCGATTGGCCATATGTGCAGTTTAGCTGGACTAGCCTCGTATGCACAGTGTTGGACCTAATGAAGCACAGGGGAACGTAGGTCAGAGCTTGAGTGGTTTGAGTTTCGTGGCTTTGCAGCCACATTCGTATGCATCTGTGCTGGGCTTTTCAGGTATCCCGCCGCACCATGGGCATGAGATTGATGCTGCAAAGTCTCTGACTGACTCGCCAAATCCGATGACCTCGCTGTCTGGAATCTCTGAGCCTTCGAGATTGAAATGTGCTCCAACCTGATTGCGGACGAGGCCGAGAAGTCCAGCTTCCTCGTAGAGGGGCTTGATGGCTTCATATGGTGTTTTGAGTTGATGGTCTTGCTGCCCTTGAGGGCATGTTCGCTCGACAATGAGTTTCTTTGTGTGTTTCTCAGGCAAGGCACTCAAGTATTGACCGAGCGTCCACTTCATGTTCCCGTTCCGTGGGAGTGGCCTTTCATACTGCAAGCAAACCCGATCTAGTAATGCTTCCAGAAGGACACCGCTCATGCTGGCTAATGATTGTCTATCAATGGGTTGCTCCTGCAGCTTACTGACCAACTGATCAACAGGAAGCTTTGTATCTACAAACCGTATTCCAGTAGCACTCGAATGTGGCAGTAGCTGAAGAAGGCCGATGCTTGAGGAACCCTGATTCAAACGGTAGTAGTCAAGCCATCTTCTTGAATGTGTGACAATGATGACTTGAGCGAATGATTCGATCATGTCATCGATGACCTTGGCGATTCTGCGGAGATGCTCCAAATCAACTGAGGTAAACACATCGTCAAGCACAACGATTGTGTTCTCGGGGGATTCAAGCTTGGCTATTGCTACCCATACGCAGAAGCCAAGGGTGTCAAGATGTGATTCGCTGTAGTACGCACCGGGGGCGACATCCTTTCCTGAGAATTTTGCTTTCTGCTCGATGGAACTCTTGCGCACCATTGAAAGCTTAGAGCCTCCCAATCCTTCACCTGGATGGATGATTTCGTATAGTCGGTCAGTCTCATCAGAGATTGAGTTCAGGATTTGCTGGGAATACTCTTGCCTCTTTGTTTTGACAATGCCGTGAAGTTCCCTCGCCTTGATAGCGAGCAGTTGGCTTGATTTGTAGGATTCTACAGCATCGGTATACTGTTTCACTAGGCGAGCGAGTATGTTGCGTCGGCTTATGAGCCTTCGTTTCTCTTCGCAGATGGCAACAAGGCCGTCAATAACCAGCTTGATTTCTGAGGCGAGATCTATGAGCCGTTCTTCGGTGTTTTCGTCTTCGCAGGATTGGTTGATAGAAGGTAAGCCGTAATCAGTCGTTGATTCTTCTGCTTTTTCTCCAATACCGGATACCGCTGCAATAAATGCCTCTCGTTGCTGCGCTACGCGTTCATCGGCATCAGCTTCGGCTCGAACACACTTCGCCCGTACCCTAGTTTTCTCTTCAAGCTCCTTGTACTCTGCAAGGCGTTGTTCAATCAAGCTTGCAAGGTCAGTAGGATCAACATCTTGAGTGCATACTGGGCAACTTGGTCCGGGGTGTTGCTGAACATAGTCTCTCGCTTGCTGAAGAACTTCGATAAGGTCACTTGTACCGGCTTGTCCTGCTTCGAGTTCGGAAACAGCTTGCTCGGCGGCCACCCGGGCCTCTTTGGATTTGATGTGAGTTTCTTTAGCAGTTGCTAGTTGAGTTGCGCTCATTTGAAGTTGAACAAGTGCGGTCTTCTGATTCTCAATGTCTGCAATTTCAGACTCTACTTCAGATACATCCTGTTCGAGTTCGCTATAAGCCCACTCAACTGGGTCAGAAAGAGTGCTTTCCGCTGCCTCAGCCATTGGCCTAAGCTGATCGGAAACACTCTCAATTGTATCTGCCGCCGAGTTTGATTCATCTTCCCAGCGTTTGGCAAGTCGGTCTAATGCGGCTTCACTTGATTCAATCTGATCTGCGCCAACATATTTCTGAAGAACATCGTACCGCTCAGATGGCTGCGCCTCCATCAACTTGTTGAGCGCGGGTCGGCGTAAAACTCGTGTAGTAGGTGTGTTGTCGGGCCCATTTCGAACGATCCTTCTACTAGCAATGCCACCATCCCACGACCCAGTTTCTGTGGATAGCTTTACGGAAACCTCCGATGCTGCTGAGCCAAGGCTTGGAAGTGAGCTAACTTTTGAGCCACCATCTAGGCTTCGGTGTTCAAGAGAACCGTGATGCTTGTTGGCTACAAAATCAATCGCATCAACAATTGTTGACTTTCCTGTTCCATTCTCCCCAAAGATCAACACAGAGGGTTTTCTAGTGTCAAAGTTGATTTCGATGGGAATGCTTGCTCCTCGAAATTTTTCAAGCTCAAGTTTGAGGATGCCGGATGTCATGAGTTTTCTCCTTCGACAGCATTAGCCTCAGAACTGATCGTTCGAACCCAGGCCTCAACATTCTTTTGAATAGATTTTTCTGGATTACCCTCAGTCAACGCGTTTTGTAAATCGTCAGCAATAATTTCGGGCATGCCCTTGGCCTTGGCTTCTTCGGCTACAAGCTTGGCGATATGCTGAGATGGAGTTGGCATGATGTACCTTATGAAATGCACCAGCGGATCAGAAATAGCTTTTTCTGTTGTTCTGAGGCCTCTAGTTGTTTCTCAATTTGCTGAATGAGGGTGTTGCGGTCACCATCAATCCGATCTTGGGCTTCAAAGAGATCTCTGCGTTTCTGATTTCGCTTTTGCTCAAGATCACGGACTTGTCTTTGGCCTTTGAGTTTTTCTTGTAGTGTTACCGACGCTCTAGCTTCTGAACGGGCATCTCGAATTGCACGATCAATCTCTTTGATTTCAAGTTCAAGTCCAAGCTTTAGGTCATCTGCCCAGCGGTCCAGTTTGGCGACTTCCTCATCGAAGAATGACATGTTCTTTTGTTCGGTTTCAAATCGCTTCTGTGAGATCGCTTCCTCTATAACTTGGCGCAATGACTCAGGTGGATTTGTTTTGATTGGAACTGCCTGACTGAGAATTGGGAGATTCAGCAGGCGTGCAGCAGCCTCGGATTGGAGTGGCTCGCCGTTCTCATGCACCCCTCCAAAAACAACGAACTCTTCAGGTTCAATGGACTGAAGGGTTAGTCGGTTGACTTGAAGCCATCCTGAGCATCCTTTGAGGTGGTCTAGCGCAGCTACTGATACACCATAGTTGCTAAGATCAAGCTGAAGCTCGGCTATTGGAAGAACACGTTCTGAAGCTCTATCAATAATTGCTTTGGCTAGTGGATGGCCCGGACGAAAAAAGCTCAGGTTTTGTTCTTCTGCCTTTCTCCAGTCAAGGTGATAGCCGCCCGTATGCCCAAGTGGTCCTGTATAGTTGAATGAGGGCGATACTTCGTTGAAGTCGGCATCGATAGATAGTTCGTGCTTAGCTAGGTTTAGTAACCAACGCTGCCGTTGGTCGAGGGCGTCTTGGGCTTGATCATGATGGAACTTGAGTCTTGCATGGACTTCTTCATCGAAATTGTCGAGGAGAGCTTGTCTGGTAGAAGCCATGCGCGCATCGATCTGCTCTTGCAGTTCGGTTTGTAGGGCATCGAATGCCGTTTGAATTTCATCGAGAGTTCGGCAGGTCTGGTAAACCTGAGAGATTCGCTTTTCGATATCAACTCCTGATTCAAGGGCTCCAAGCACTTCATCACTTGCTCCAAAGACGCCGCTGAAGAGAGTGAACTTCTCATTTAACAGTTCAAATACTCTTTGGTCAGCAGCATTTCTTCTATTCAAGAAATTGACAACAACAACATCGTGCTGCTGTCCGTACCGATGACATCGGCCTATTCGCTGTTCAATTCGTTGAGGGTTCCATGGCAAATCATAATTGACAACCAAGGAGCAGAACTGCAAGTTGATGCCCTCAGCGCCAGCTTCAGTAGCAATAATTATCTCCGAGCGATCACGAAACTCTTCAATGATTGCAGCTTTTACATCAACTGGCCTAGATCCTGAAACAATATCTTTTCCAGTATGGCGATGGATCCAGTCCGAATAGATTCGTTTTGATGAATCATCTGAGTTTGTCCCATCCATGGTGACCACTTTGTTTGCGTAGCCATTTTGATTGAGAAGTTCGTAAAGATACTGTTGTGTGCGACGAGACTCAGTGAATACGACGGCTTTCTTCGCAGCCCCAATTTTCTGTGCTTTGCCAAAGGCTACGTCCAGAGCGGTCAGTAGTGCATCACCCTTTGCATTATGAGAAATACTTTCAGCATGCTCTGCATACTGACGAAGCTCGATTAGTTCTTCTCTGATTAGGTCAGGGTCAATGGGCTCTTCGGTGAATACAAATGATTCCCATTCCTCTTGAGCCTCGTCGATGGTTTCGAAATCATCAAAAGCAGCTTCAGCATCCGCAAGATGGCCCTCAAGCCGATCTGTCATTCGCCGTAGTGTATTTGCAATAGCGAATGTTGATGACGCAAGAAGTTTTCGGAGAACCATTGTGATAAGAGTGCGTTGTCCTGCGGGCAAAGCTGCAAGAATGTCGCGCTGAAGATATGCGCTGACTTCTTCGTAGAGTTGGTGTTCTTCGTCTGAGGGGAAGAACTCCTGAGTAATTGGAATACGCTCGGTGTAACGGATGTATTCGGAGACTTGATTCCGTAATGTTCGAGTACAAACAGGCTTTATTCGTTCTTTTAACAGGCCGTCACGATGCAATAGATCAGGATTCTTGAGAAACTGTTCTCTGAAGGAAGGTAAATCGCCAAAGATATGCCCATCGATTATGCTAACTAGTCCATATAGCTCAAGGAGTGAATTTTGAAGAGGTGTAGCCGTGAGCAAAAGCTTGCGTGCGGATATAGTTGCTTCAGCAATTGACTTCGCCATTTTATTTGAGCGCTTATAGACATTTCGCATTCGATGAGCTTCATCGATAACCACTAAATCCCACGGTACTCGTGAAATGTCTTCAGACTTTGCAGCAGCAAACTGATATGAGCAAAGTACAATTTGATGATCCTGATCAAATGGATTAGAGAATCCCTGGGATCTGAATGCGCTATATGCTCTTGATTCAAGGACTATACCCGGTATGAAAAACTTCTCGGCAAGCTCTTGAATCCATTGTTTTCGAAGCGTTGCTGGGAGGATGACCAAAATCTTCCGTTTGCCTTCGGCCCATTTTTGTGATAGCACCAATCCGGCTTCTATTGTTTTACCCAGGCCGACCTCGTCAGCAAGGATCGTTCCACGGGAGAGCGGTGAACGCAGAGCAAACAACGCAGCGTCAATCTGATGTGGATTCAGGTCAACTCGGGCATTTGCGATAGACCGTGAGATTGCTCCAAGTCGGTCGTCACTGCCTTGGAGGCCAAGAAGAACTGCCCAAAGCTTAGCGTGATAATCAGTCCATACTGGCAATCTGTGGCTCCTGAGTACAACATGTATCAATCAAGTCTTGCGCCTTCGTCATTCTAGGGCATGACTCATGAGTGATAGCCGTGTGGATATCCCACTCATGCTGCCCCGCTCCAAGTTGAGACAAGGATAATCATCAAGACTCAATCTCATGCCCTTACACAGAATGGCTATTTAGACGTTGTAACTGAATCAGTGTATCTGTCGATTAACTCCTGAAACTCTGCAAGAGCCTCTGAGGCAATGTACTCGCACTGTTCTGGATTGTCGCCCGTAGAGTCACAGACTGTTCGAAGAAAGCAACATGCCATATGCCCAATCGCTCTTGGATTCAGTTGCAAGAAACTACGAATCATATCAGATCCGAACGCAGCCAGACCGATATCATCCGCTTCAAAACAGAATGTAAACTCTACCATTGATTCTTCTAGTTGTTCAAAACTCAATGTTGATCTCCTTTAATGATCTGCAACATAGCGTCGCAATTGATTTACACATTACAGAGTTTTCTTTCACCTGTAATGCCTTTGGAAAAGCTCGGATTGTTTGATTCACTGATCGCTAGCTGCTGCACTATCAAGCGCAAAGACGTTTTTGAGTTTCATGATTGCTGAGTCCAATCGATACCAATCACGCTCAACATAATGCTTCTTCATGGTCTTCTCAGAATGAGCCAAAAACATCTCAGTCACAGCAGGGTCAATGGCTTCAATCTCAGACGCAGCGGTTTTCCTTAGAGAGTAGAAACCACGATGATTGGGAATCATGGTCTTCTTCATGAGTCTTGAGAATGCCGAACGAATCGCATCGGTCTTCTTGAACTTGTCGTCAACGAAGCGCTCATGAACAAGTGGTTGTCCTGATTTGGACAAGAAGACTCGATCGGTGGGTTCTCCATCGAGGTTGCCATGCTTCTTGAGCATTTCAATAGTCAATGGCCACAGCTTGAATTCGGAGTGTACCGAAGTCTTGGTCCTCTTACGTATGAGGCGTCCTTCTGCAATGTCTACCTCGCCAACTCGTAAGCTAGATAGATCAGCCTGGCCAAATGCACAGTTGAGCCCGAGCAAGATATACATCTTGGTTCTCTCGTTTGCTGCTCTGTAGATGGTGTGAATCTCATCAAGAGAAAACCGATTGACTCTTGGCTCGGGAATCGTGATTTTTGAGTACCTTGCAAGATTGCGTGGAAGCGCATCGATCAAGTGCATTTCGAAACCCCAGCGCATCATCAGCTTGACGATGTCCAGTCGGGACTTTGCAGTCCACAGTGAGATAGATTTTTTAGTAACCGCTGATACCGGCAAACCCAATGTGTAGTTCTTGTAGTCATTCAGATGGGTTTCAGTGAGCCTTGCGAGTGGAAGATCGGGTTGCAGATAATCAACGAAGTGGCAGACAGAGATTCTGATTTTCTCGAACCATGCCGCTGAGATATGGCCACCCTGGAACCGAGAATAACAAGACTGTAAATACTTCTCGCTGAATTCTTCGACGGTGAGTTTCTCTACCTTGATTTCAATCGGCAGCTTCACCTCACGAACAGCCATGAACTCGAAATATTCTCGTTCTGCTTGGTTGTATGATCGATTCACGT